AAATAAATGCTATTTATATATGTTTACAGTGCTTTCAGTCTACATCTTTTTTGTTAAAGAAGCAAATGAAGTAAACAATATTCATGTCCTATGTCTTCTGTGCTGTTGTGTTAGTGAAAGTGTATAATCAGATCACTGCAGGAGACAGTTCTGGAAAGAGAGATCATAGAATAGCAGAGTTGGAAAGGGCCATCAGGTCCAGCCTCCTGCTCTTGCAGGACACTTAAGTTCCATCATCCCATTCAGATGACTGGCCAGATGCTTTTTGAATGTCTCTAGTGAAGGAGAGCTCACAACCTCCCCGGGTTCCATTGTTGTACTGCTCTGACAGTGAGGAAATTCTTCTGATTAAATTCTTCTGGCTAAATCTGGTTTCTTTTAACTTAATTCTGTTATTCTGTGTCCTGTACTCTGGAATGGATGAGAAGAGATCTTTCCTTCTTCTTTGTGACAGCATTTTAGGTACTTGTAGAGTGCTATCATAGAGTGCTCCGTCTTCACTTCTTGAGGCTGATCATGCCTAGTTCTCCCCATCATTCCTGATACAGCTTTGCCTTCAGTCCCTGAATCATCCTTGCTGCCCTCCTCTGTACCCTTTCTAGTTTTTCTGCATCTTTTAAAAATGTACATGTCCAGAACTGGATACAGGACTCCAGGTGAGGAATGACTAGTGCTGAGTATAGGAGAACTAGTACTTCACATGTTTTGGAAGTGACACTTTTGTTAATGCAGCCCAAAATAGTATTGCCCTTTTTGCAGCTGCATCACATTGTTGGTTCATATTTAGCTTGTGATCTACAGCAACCCCAAGATCTGTCGAGCAAGGTATTCCCTATTTTGTAGTGATACATTTGGTTTCTTATTCCTAAGTGGAGAACTTGGCATTTGTCCCTACTGACTTTCATTTTGTTCTTCTCTGCCCAGCATTCTAACCAATTGAGATCACCTTGTATTTTATCTTCCAGGGTATTTGCCACTCAGTTTTGTGTCATCTGAAAATTTTATTATCTGTCCTTGTAGTTCCTCATATAAATCATTAATAAAAACGTTGAAGAATACTCCAGGAAAGAGCCCTGCAGCACTCTACTTGTCACCTCTCCCCAGTTTGAGAATGTACCATTGATAGATTCTTTGAGTCTGATTTTGCAGCCAATTGTGGATCCACTTAATAGTTGCACTATCTAGCCCCCCCCCCTTTGCTAGTTTGCTGATCAAGAAGTCATGGGACACTTTGTTGAGGACTTTGCGTAAACTGCCATGCCATCTTAGCTTTTTGGTAGTTGCACTTTTTTCAGCTTGTGTATAATCTCCTTTTTAGCACTTCATAGTAGACATTTGGATACTGAAATACTTTTAAGTTTCTAAATATATTGCATTAATTTGTAGGTTCCTGTTGAATGCAGCATTATTCTTTTTCAGTCATGCCTCTGAAATTAGATCTTCAGTAGAAAATAATACTAGCTTAAATTATGTTTTAGCTTAAACTAGATACACTTCCTTTCTCACTGGATGTAGGAAAAAGAGGCTTTTGAAAACTCTTCCTCTTACTGCTTTTGTTTGATATTATAATAACTTTCTGGATCAGTTTGGCCCAAATTAATAGGAGTATGGTATTTAAAGTAGTCAACTAACTTACATATGCCTCATAGTGAAACAAATGCACATTGCAACCCTTGAAGATTAACCAAAGGGGCATTTTAATCTTTGCAGAATGCCCAGCATGTTGAAGTGGAGAGTATCCCCCTGCCCGATATGCCTCATGCTCCTTCAAACATCCTGATTCAGGATATTCCTCTGCCTGGAGCCCAGCCTCCTTCTATTCTTAAAAAGACATCAGCCTATGGGTAAGAAAAGAGTACATTACAAACATTCTTCATGGGTTTGGGGTGTATGAATTGGAATTGTACATTAAAATTCTGATTTTTTAAATGGGATGAAGTTGTTATTTTACTTGAATTTTAACCTTAATGTATCGCATGTATTTTTGTTTGCTGACTACTTGTTCATACAGTGGGATGGTGCTGGTCAGACTGTAGAGTAAGCCATCAGAAATGGACTGTAGCATCATGTGAGATGCTTCTTGGTGTAGGAAAGTGTTGATTTAGCTGCAGATGAAATTTGGGGAGTAAGTAGTGACAGAGGTATATCAGTTGAATTGAAATGATCTTACGTGAACTGTTTCATTGCTAGAAGGAGGGGGAACACTTAACTGCTCTCCTGAAGGGGAGACAATTTGAATAATTTTCCCTGGACTTAAGGAGCCAGAAACTGGGGTGGAAGCCTAGCCAGTGCCGCATAAGCTTCTAGCTCTCTGGAGCAGACTAGCAATGAGACATGATCCTAGCCTGCACAGTATCTGCAGCTCCTTTTCCATATTGCTACTTTCCTTTCCTGGTGCAAACTCTACGGGTTGGAGTTGGGATTGGTAAGCAGTACTGTTGTCTTTTATCTTCTACATTTTATTTGGCCTGTGCTTATGTTACACATGTAGGGGCTGCTGAAAATTGTTCATGCAGTTTGGTTGGTACACAGCAAGAGACTCTCAAACAGATTGCCCTTGTGTAGAGTATTGCTATGTCTAAAAGAATTGCTTATGGCCTCCTTGTGAAAGATTAAAAGCATGAAATGTTTCTGTGATAATGTTTTCTTTCTGTGAGATTTAGTTTTCATCACACCTTTTCCTTTCCCTTGTAAACATTATCCTAAATCCCCTTTTTCCTCTGAAGTGTTCATAAATAACTTCCATTGTTTCTGCTGAATGTTTTGAACTGGATCTTATTGTGTGAAAGTTTTGATTCTCAAGCATAAAAACATAGATGGTTGTAATTTAGCTTTGATTTGAAGGGCTAGGTCTGGGAAAGAGTGGTCTAATCTGTTGATTTTTTTGAAGCCATCTTAACTATTTGGCTGTGTTTGCATGTAATATTGAAGCATAGTTTAGTATTGTATATCTGAGACTTGAACTCAAGTGCTTCATCTTACCTTCCATGTAGATGTGAAGAGGTCAGAAGTATGTGCTTCTGTTTTTGACTAGCCACAGTTAGTTGTTACATCTAAAGGCAGATGATGGATACTATTAATTTTAGTTTCAAGCCATCTTAAATCAATGCTTGAAGCAACTATAGTAATCTTGGCTCCAGCTTGCTCCAATAAATGTAAACCACAGTTCCTGGTTTGAAAATGAAGATTCTTCATCATACTAAAGACTTGATGCCTTGTGGCATGCAGGGAGAAAATTCCAACTCAGAATTTTAAGATCCTTAACTATGTACTTTTCCCAAACTTATTTCTAGACCTCCTGTCCGGCCTGTTTCTGTACTTCCACCTCCTGGGCATGGTGTTCCTCGCTTACCTCCAGGCAGGAAGCCTCCTGGACCTCCACCAGGACCACCTCCACCTCAGGTCTTGCAGATGTATGCTCGTAAAGTAGGATTCTCCCTAGAAATGGCCCCTCGAAGAAGAGAGGAGGAGGTGTCTTATAGTCCAGAGACAGGTAAAAGGGTTTCTGTTCCACCAACTAATTTTTTAGTAGCTAAAATATTTTCTGATATTTTCTAACTGCCTGCCTTAGCTTCTGTAATATCCGTATAATGACATTGGTACTGTGGTACATATGTGACAAAATGGTAGACTTGAAATGTTGGTTGTCCTCTTCTCCCCCATCCTTCTTGAACTGGACTGCTAAAAAAAACCTTACAGGCAAAACACATTAAGCATTGATTTCTATGGGTGGGGGGCTCCATGTCTGCACTTTGCAGGTCCACGAGGACATGATGAAGAAGCCTCAAGTACCAGTGAAGATGAAGGGTATCCTGAGGATATGGATCAAGACAAGCATGATGACACTACTGATGACAGTGACAGTGACAGGAGTGATGCAGACAGTGAAGGGGATGAGTTCATGCATCATGATGACAATGCTGAAAGAGAGGGTGGTGAAGACAAAAAATCAGGCAAGTGTCTTAGGAAAGTGCAGTTGGAGAGTAGCAGTATTTCACCTTGATGACTGAACTTCTGGCTAAATGCCCTGTCTTTCAGTCAGAAGGACAAGCGTTAATGCAAATCTTCTTTGTCCACATCTGGTATACTCTTTAATCTCTTTTCATAGAATGCTTTTTAGCATCTTTCTGTAAGGCTTGTGGAATAGTACAAACCCTCTTTTTCTGCGTTTACATATCCTGTCATTTTATTTTGCAAATTTATCCTTTACAAGTGCAGTGGCATGTAGTTGAATATGTTGTCCTCCAGGCTTCATCAAAGGATCAGCTGCTTTGTTGGCTTGTCTAGGACAAACTATAGTTTGTCCCCTTCCCCAGAACTTTTGGCCATTCCAGCTGGACATTATAGGAAAAAAATAACTTTATATGAGCATTGATATAGAAATCTGCTGTTTTCTTTCCTCTGTATCCCTTTTTTGTTTTGTAGATTGTAACCCTGAAATCAGAGCCAGTGCCTAGAATATGTTGGGAGCTTCATAAAAGATGTTAATAATAATACTGTTGGGTTATTATGTTGGGAGAATGGTGATAATGTTATTCCTTGATAACATTCCTTTTAATGACTTTCCATAAAGTAAAATCTAGTAAATGATACTGGTTTCATGCTTGAAGCTCTCTTTTTAGCCTTGGAAGTGAGTAGCTATTCTATACATGAATTGCAAAGTTGACCTTCTCGGCTTTTGTGAGATTAGACACTGTTAAAGCATGCCAAACATTAAAACTGATTAAGATGGTAATTGTTGGTAGGAACACTAATCCTCTATCACATGCACCTGCAGGTCATAGTGTGCGGTTTGCCGACATACCTGGAAAATTGCGAAAGAAGAAAAAGAACATGAAGGAGCTCACTCCACTTCAGGCCATGATGTTGCGGATGGCTGGTAAAGAAGCCTTAATTTTTCTTTACTTTTCTGTATTCCCTCCCACCCCTCCATTCTTTGTTGCCAGCTATAGAAGTTGGTTTGCCTAAACTATACTTAAGAATTTGCATTAAGGATCTAGTATATAAACAGAAGCTGGCATGAAGCTGTTAGCTGTTTATGATAAAGCAGTGACTTGTATCTAGTAGCTTGCATGCTGTAGATGTGAACTCAGGAATTTGGAGGTCAACAAGCCTTGATGATGGAAAGATGTTCCTTCTTTTTCCCAGCCTGGTCATGAGGATGTTTGTGTGGATGTGTTTTCTAGGAACTTTTGTTAATCCATCCACAGACCACAATCTGCTGTTACCATTGTCCACAAAATAATAAAGCTGAGTATCATTGTGGAGCAAGAACTGCAGTAGGTACGCTGTTAGAAGCACACTGTTGAATTCACAAGCTGGTTTTGACCAGTGTTTTAAAGATTAACCATAAACTTGATTATAATCTTAAGGTATTTGCCGAGTAGATGCAATTGATTCATGAAAATCCAAGTATGTTTCATTTTTAAAACTGCACAATATTATGCAATTATACATGCAGGTGTTGAGATTGTTTTCAAGAGCAGTTAAATCTGATATTAAAAAATGCTCTGACAAATTTTCATAGTTGATAATTACCTGTATACTTTGAGAGGGTAGACTTAATGGGTTTTGTGAAATAGTACCAATGCTTTTGCTTGGATGACTTGTCTAATAACATGAACTCATGGATGTTCCAAAAGATCAGTGTATGTCTACCAGCTATGTCCTATTTCTCAGTGTGTGTGTCTGACATCTTAAAAGGTTTTTAGTACATGTCTTCCTATCACAAATTACTAGGGTGGGTTTCATCCTGAATTTTTTTTTCTTCATCCTGAGAGCTCTGTCTCTCTCAAGCCCTCCCAAATGAAGAGTCTAAAGAAGTGTTGTCTGTAGATATTTGGTTAGCACAGTTTCCTCTTTTATTTTGATGTTTTTAGTGAGAGACAAATCATAGTGGGCTGTCTTGTTATACTGCTTAATTTTTAAAAACCTAATAGCTGAAGAGCTGACAAATGAACTGTCTTACTTTAGTTCCTCTTAATTTGTTCATATTTTTATTATACTAGACTATAAAAGAAAAAAACAATAAGCAAATTATACCAACCAATGCAAATATTCTCTCTGCATTATATCAATTTTAAATATTGTAATAAAACTTGAAATAACTTAGAGAACAGATTAAGTGAGTGAAATGCCTTAAGAGGCTTGAGCAGTGAATTCTCTGAATAATCCACTCTTTCAGTTTATCTAATTCTCCTGTGCTCTCTGATCCTTTTTGTAATCTTCAAGGTAATTTTCCCAATTGTGGGATAACTTTTCTTGATTTCCTAAGGCTTTATTTTGTTCTGCTCTGTTGTTAGACTGCAACGTATAATCTGCATGTCTTGGATTGTAATAAAAGTAGAGCCTGCAATCTTTTGCTGCAGGTCAGGAAATTCCTGAGGGCGGCAAAGAGATAGAAGAATATTCTGAAGATGATGATGATGAAGATGAAGATGACTCGGAAGCGGAGGACACCCCACAGCAGCAAAGCACAGAAGAGTCCCATATAGAGACTGTGTCAGCAACACCCTCTCAAGCAGCACAGCCGCCGCCGCCACAGCAGCAGCAGCCACCCCCTCAGCCTGTCCCTCCAACTCAGATGCAGGCTCCTCCCATGCCTGGGCCGCCCCCACTTGGGCCACCTCCTGCACCACCCTTGAGGCCTCCAGGACCACCTACTGGTCTTCCTCCTGGTCCACCTCCAGGTGAGCACTTAAGTGTCCATAAATATTGCTTTGTTTTGGGGTCCTGCCAGTAGATAGTCTTACTCAACACATCAAGTAGTGGGGGCTTCCCTTCCTTGCTATGCAGAGGCTATACAGGCTATGCTGCCTTTTGCCTGAGGTGTAATCCAGTTTTTACTGTTAAGCCCACTAGAAATATTGGCAATGGAAAGGGAATGTGGGGAACCAATGCTTGGCCAGCTGGCTGTTCTGTACATGTTTTAGCATTTTTAAATGTGAGAGAGCTTCAAAAAAGAAAGCAAGGTATTTTGATTAGAACGTAGGCACTAGTTTTACAGGCTGTTGGAATGTCCTAAAGATATTTTTGGGAACATTTTTAAACAGAGTGCTGAGAAACGAGATACCATAATTGGCAGAGGGTGTTGAAGAATCTGTCATTTTCAGAAATAAACTAAGATGTTGTGTAAATGTTTCCAGGGGCTCCTCCATTTCTTAGGCCACCTGGATTGCCTGGACTGCGTGGACCTTTACCACGACTTTTGCCACCTGGACCTCCCCCTGGCCGTCCTCCTGGTCCTCCACCTGGGCCACCTCCAGGTCTTCCACCTGGTCCTCCTCCAAGGGGACCCCCACCTCGTCTACCACCTCCAGCCCCTCCAGGTAATGTTGTAAGTTAGAAGTGGGATGGCCTTCCTTTTTCAATAATAAGCTAAAGATGAAAGGCCTTCAATTAGTTTAACAGTTCTAACATGAAACAGAAGGTGGTATTCTTATTGCCCCTTTTGTTTGGAATCAAAGCATAACTCTTGAAGTTGGTCCAGTAAGACACAGCACTGGAAGTTTTATATAGTATCAAAACATCTCTTGGAATTTCATGCAGACAAAATGTGTGTGCATTCAGCTTATGCAAAGTGGGGGCTTTTTTAAGCCAATCCATTGTATTGCTGTAACTTGTCGATCTTGTGCCTCAGACTTTCTCTTAACAGTCAGATAGCTAACTTTTTCCTTCCTGCAGGTATCCCTCCTCCTCGACCAGGCATGCTGCGCCCTCCATTGGTGCCTCCACCTGGGTTATTCCCACCAGCTCCCATTCCAAATCCTGGCGTACTCAGTGCTCCTCCCAGTTTGATCCAGCGTCCCAAAGCAGATGATACCAGCACAGCCACCATTGAGAAGAAAGCCACAGCTACAATCAGTGCCAAGCCACAGATCACCAACCCCAAGGCTGAGATCACCCGCTTTGTGCCCACAGCCCTGCGGGTTCGCCGAGAGAACAAGGGGACAACAGCTTCCACCCAGAGGAAACCTGACGATGAGCCTTCTGTTCAGATATCCAAAGCAACACCAAAGGCCGGCTCTTCTGCCCCTGTATCTGTGCAGACCAAGGATGATGTGTATGAAGCTTTCATGAAGGAAATGGAGGGACTGCTGTGATAATCTATTCCCAGTTAACCTTTACGTCCTTTGCAATGAGATCAGACTACTGTATTAGGGGTAGGGATTCCATGTTATACTGGCATCCAGTTGAAGGGCTTCCTTTCAGGCAAGGAATAGTCCCCCATCCCAGTTAACACATGATCCGACTTGGAAAGTCCACTGTAGACTTGGAAGAGGGGCATAATCACCTACCCACCTTTTAATGAAAAGTTCATTTGTCTGTGCTCCCATGGAAAACCTGTTGTCTTATTTTTTTGTTAAGGGAAGGAACATTTTTGAGAAACCAGAATGTCCTGGTAAATTATCTCCTATACATATACCTGATCATCAGGTTTTTAGGCTCTGTTTTGGTGGCTTTCTGTAAATATTTTGTAATGCTATTTTGAGTTGGGTGAGACTAACTGGTTTACATAGTCATAGAGGTGGGCAGGCTGCTATTTGCATATATGGCATGTAAACTTTTTGCACCCACCCAGTGTATCCTGCAATCACTTCAGTGGCTTTTTGCTAACAAGAAATATCATTGTTACATGAAAGAGAATAAATATTTGATGTATTATAACACTTTATTGATTGGATATCTGTATTAATGCATTGAGCTTAGGAAGGGAAAGAGTTAACCCAGAATCCCTGTCAAATATTGCATATAGAAAGTAGCTAACATCATTAGGGACATTTACCATGCATATTTTAATCTGTGCAGCATCAGTTCAAGGGAGGATTGGTGCTGGTTCCATTGGAAGATACAATAATCCTGTACCTCTGAGCCCTCCCTTATCCTTCATTTTTGTACCAAGGAAACACAGTCTATATTAAGTCTATACTGAAGTTGTATCACAGTTATTGAAACAAAGGAAAGGAAATTGATGTTTTGCTAGCAGCCATAGGGGGTGTGATGCCTGTAAGCACCCAAAGGTAGAGGTTTATGAGCATCCTGTGCAGGATGCGAGGAGTGGCGGGAATCTCATCTTTGCTAGATAGGCTTTTCCACTTACCCGCAGTCAAAAAGAGGCTGAGGGGAGGAAGCTAAAGATATCCCTTGTCTAATCTTGTCTCTCTCCTGCCAACACCCCCCTCTTTTATCCCTCTCCAAGGTTGGCTTTCCATCCTCGACTCCTGATGTCTGTTTTTTGGGTCAATTGTGAGGTGTTGAAGGATCAGGGGTGAGTTCCCAGCTCTAAGATAAGAGTAGTTGCTTTAAATTGGGAGCTGGGAATCCTCCAATGCTGTCTCAGGGTGTAGGGGATGAACCTATAAGGAAGTTAATCCTATCATGCTTGGAAGTTCTTTTCTGACTTTCTCTTCTGTACTTGATACTATACAATTTCTAAGTTTTTGTCTACAACCACTGAGAATTTGGAATCTTGGTTCTGTCCAACATTGAGTTTAGATTGTAGGGAATCTAAACTCAATATTTCTTCAAATCACAAATAGGTGGAATAAATGTACCAACCATTAAAGAGCAGCAGCCAGGAGGTCTGCTTAAACTGACATTTTTATTTATTTATTTTTCGATTTGTATCCTGCCTTTTCCCTACAAAGGGCTCAAGGCAGCTTACATCATTCTCCTCCTCCTTCTTATCCCCACAACAACAACCCTGTGAGGTAGGTTGGGCTGAGAGTCTGTGACTGGCCCAAAGTCACCCAGTTGGCTCCATGGCTGAGCGGGGACTAGAACCCTGATCGTCTGAGTCCCAGTCCCATGCTTTTAACTGCTACACCACATTCAGACTATTGTGACAGAATCTGTGTTAAATAAAGTGGCATATTGCCTGATGGAGTGCGAAAAAGAGGCTAATAGTCACAAGAACAGGATAGGATGTTAGCAAGACTGTTCCCAAAGGATAAAAACTGGTAAAGGGAAAGTCATTGTAATGCTGTTTTTTACTTTTTTGAGGGGGTACAGCACATCTGAAAGAAATTGGGCACAAAATGCAGAAAGCCTTTGAATCTTCTGGATTATAGTCCTTGTGATGGAGACAACTTACATTTAGCAAGAACTGATGGATTTAACTATAGAGAGCACTCCTGAGTAGACTACCAGCTGACCATACTGAGGAATAGCTAATTGGTAATCTTAAAGAGGGTCCACTACCAAAACTGCTTAAGTTAAATAAGGCTTAGAATCAAAACTAGATCTTGGCATCTAGATGAATCAATGGCCACATTGCATCCACTTGTTGCTTAGTGCAAGTGTTAAGCTCCTCTGCACACCATTGAGTCAATACATCATTTTTTTCCTGTAATGACACATTCACATGTGCAGATCATTTGACAACTACCTCAAATGAGCTGAAGTTGCTATTTCTGCATGTCATTGTAAGTGTCTTGAGACAACCTGGCAAAAAATTAAATGTGCCCTTTTTGGTTTTTAACTTTCATATCCAAACATACATGGATAGATTCTTAGGCAAGCAAACACTCAAGATTACCACGTCTATTTAAAGTGAAACACCAAGGACCAGACACAATTTCCTCTCGCCTGGTTTTAAAAATAGTATTTCCTTCTCTCCCTAAAATGGCTCATAGAGAAACCAGGGCAACATCGTATATGTGAAAGCAACTTTTAGTAACAACACAGCTCTTTTACGTGTTTGCCTTAAAGAGCCATAAATAGGATATCAGTACCCTTTAGGGATGCTGTTCTATTTGCATATATCTCGTGCGTTAGCCACTAGAGATCCAGCACTTTCCAGTGAGGGCGTCTTTGGCTCTGAAAAGAGCCTTTGGGTTTCGTGATCGATGTTCTGAGCA